AGCAATCATTTGAGAAACAAATAAAAGGCTCTCTTGACAAAACAAACAGGAAAACCCAAAGGTACATATAGTATACATTTTCCTTAATTGGAAAACTTTGCTACTCAAAGTTTGTCCAGATGCCAGTGCAGCATCAATGCTGATCCCTGTGAGCATGTCACACATGCAAAGTAGCAAATGCATCTCAGGCACAGTGAATGACAATGTTCATTTTAATAAATTAACAGGTCGTCTACAATATTTTTAAGCAGTTTCATTTTAAAGGACATGTATTTTAGTGAAAGATATTTCTTTTTCCAATAAGAAAATTCCTAGGTCAAAAACACTCCCAGCTTTAATTCTATTTAATGCAAAATTACATTTGAAAAAGTCTTTCCATAATAAAAATAAAAATTATGAAAAACATGATCATATTTCCATGAAACTATGCCTTAAAAATTAAATGCAATAAATATATCAGAGACTGTATAAATCCACAAAGTAAAAGAATAAAGGAAAATTGTGTGCAACTGCATTAGAGTTTATTAGACGTACAATTGTCTGCTTAGCTTGATTTGGGGATTTTGTTCAATCCTGCTGCTTGCCATACAAATTGTTTGCCTTACATAGTTACTGTCCTGGTCCCAGATCAAAAAATACAAAGGCTGGAGACAAGCTTAGTGTCCTGCAGTAGAACCACCATGCTGACCACCTTAATCAGGCAGATAATTGTTTTTTGTTTTTTTTTCTTTTTTTTATTGAACGGTAACTATGTACATTAATACACTTCTGGGGTACAGTGTGGGGTTTTCACATGCAATCTGAAATACAGGCAGATAATTGTTAAAATGAACATCCACGATCATGAAAATAAATGTTAAGTGTTATTAACCATGGAATTTTGAGAGACTTTGCTAGTGTATGCACATTCTTCCATAAATGAGGCAAATTTTACTCTTGTTATTCAAATTATATTTTGTTTTAATGTCCTCTTAACATATTTCTAAATGGATTACTAAATGTTGACATTTACACTATCACTTTTAATTAAACACATCTATCTATCGCAAAATACGTAAATAGTATATTGGACAGCTTTTGTCCAGGTGATCAGGTCAGTAGCAGTTGTTAGCTCAGCCCGAGTATGGAATTTTTATCCTTGCTCACAGAATTTAATTCTTGTGTCTTCCTGTTTAAGCAATCATCTTGATGCAGTGAGACTGTGTTTGACATAACTTATTAAGAACAAAATATGAGGCTCCGGTCCCATTTCTCTCTTTCCACATCTTGGTCTTTGACGGTATCAGGTGGGAATGAGGAGCTGATCAGAGCTTTATTTTGGAAATATACCTTCACTTGATGCTTAGTGATCTTCCCAGAGAATCCTGAAGCTGGCTCAGAGTAACACCTGATTATCCCCAGTGGGGGCAAGGATCACCACAATGGCACAGAGAGGGACACTGGCTCTATGCTCTCAGGGTACTGATTGCATTTCCCAGAAAACAGATAGTGCTGTCCATGCAAGCAGGGGAATATTGCATGGGTGATACACTAATTACACCAGGCCTATCTGTACTACACATCCATCAGCCCAGACCCAACCCCCTACTCCTTAACAGTTTTGAGAACCTCTATTCATACTCCTGAACCTATAAAACTATTCTTTTAAAAATATATATATTATTATTTTATTTTATATGATAGGTATACAAATGTTTTGGTTCCATGCATTGCTTTTGTACTATTTTGGTCCAAGTTATAAGTGTGTACATCACCCAGATAGTATGCACTGTACCTACTAGGTGTAAATTTACCACTTCCCTCTCACCCACTTGATTTCTGACAAGTGTTATTTCCATATGTGCACAAAACTGTTAATTGATTAGTTTCAATTTTATAGTGAGTACATGTGGTATTTGTTTTTCCATTCTTGTGATACTTCACTTAGAAGAATGGTCTCCAGTTTCATTCAGATTAACACAAGACGTATTCATTAATTTTTTATCTTTGAGTAATATTTCATGGTATATATGTATATATATACAACATTTTATTAATCCACTCATGTATTGATGGGTACTTGGGTTGTTTTC